CACGACAGCGCGCACTGCAGGTACGCACAGCTCGCACTCACTGCTCGCAGCGAGCAGGAGGTGCTCGGCGTCATGATGCGTGGACACGACTCCATGATGGCCGTGCTCACCGCACGACAGCGCGCACTGCAGGTACGCACAGCTCGCACTCACTGCTCGCAGCGAGCAGGAGGTGCTCGGCGTCATGATGCGTGGACACGACTCCATGATGGCCGTGCTCACCGCACGACAGCGCGCACTGCAGGTACGCACAGCTCGCACTCACTGCTCGCAGCGAGCAGGAGGTGCTCGGCGTCATGATGCGTGGACACGACTCCATGATGGCCGTGCTCACCGCACGACAGCGCGCACTGCAGGTACGCACAGCTCGCACTCACTGCTCGCAGCGAGCAGGAGGTGCTCGGCGTCATGATGCGTGGACACGACTCCATGATGGCCGTGCTCACCGCACGACAGCGCGCACTGCAGGTACGCACAGCTCGCACTCACTGCTCGCGGCGAGCAGGAGGTGCTCGGCGTCATGATGCGTGGACACGACTCCATGATGGCCGTGCTCACCGCACGACAGCGCGCACTGCAGGTACGCACAGCTCGCACTCACTGCTCGCAGCGAGCAGGAGGTGCTCGGCGTCATGATGCGTGGACACGACTCCATGATGGCCGTGCTCACCGCACGACAGCGCGCACTGCAGGTACGCACAGCTCGCACTCACTGCTCGCAGCGAGCAGGAGGTGCTCGGCGTCGTGATGCGCGGACACGACTCCATGATGGCCGTGCTCACCGCACGACAGCGCGCACTGCAGGTACGCACAGCTCGCACTCACTGCTCGCAGCGAGCAGGAGGTGCTCGGCGTCATGATGCGTGGACACGACTCCATGATGGCCGTGCTCACCGCACGACAGCGCGCACTGCAGGTACGCACAGCTCGCACTCACTGCTCGCAGCGAGCAGGAGGTGCTCGGCGTCATGATGCGTGGACACGACTCCATGATGGCCGTGCTCACCGCACGACAGCGCGCACTGCAGGTACGCACAGCTCGCACTCACTGCTCGCAGCGAGCAGGAGGTGCTCGGCGTCATGATGCGTGGACACGACTCCATGATGGCCGTGCTCACCGCACGACAGCGCGCACTGCAGGTACGCACAGCTCGCACTAACTGCTCGCAGCGAGCAGGAGGTGCTCGGCGTCATGATGCGTGGACACGACTCCATGATGGCCGTGCTCACCGCACGACAGCGCGCACTGCAGGTACGCACAGCTCGCACTCACTGCTCGCAGCGAGCAGGAGGTGCTCGGCGTCATGATGCGTGGACACGACTCCATGATGGCCGTGCTCACCGCACGACAGCGCGCACTGCAGGTACGCACAGCTCGCACTCACTGCTCGCAGCGAGCAGGAGGTGCTCGGCGTCATGATGCGTGGACACGACTCCATGATGGCCGTGCTCACCGCACGACAGCGCGCACTGCAGGTACGCACAGCTCGCACTCACTGCTCGCAGCGAGCAGGAGGTGCTCGGCGTCATGATGCGTGGACACGACTCCATGATGGCCGTGCTCACCGCACGACAGCGCGCACTGCAGGTACGCACAGCTCGCACTCACTGCTCGCAGCGAGCAGGAGGTGCTCGGCGTCATGATGCGTGGAGACGACTCCATGATGGCCGTGCTCACCGCACGACAGCGCGCACTGCAGGTACGCACAGCTCGCACTCACTGCTCGCAGCGAGCAGGAGGTGCTCGGCGTCATGATGCGTGGACACGACTCCATGATGGCCGTGCTCACCGCACGACAGCGCGCACTGCAGGTACGCACAGCTCGCACTCACTGCTCGCAGCGAGCAGGAGATGCTCGGCGTCATGATGCGTGGACACGACTCCATGATGGCCGTGCTCACCGCACGACAGCGCGCACTGCAGGTACGCACAGCTCGCACTCACTGCTCGCAGCGAGCAGGAGGTGCTCGGCGTCATGATGCGTGGACACGACTCCATGATGGCCGTGCTCACCGCACGACAGCGCGCACTGCAGGTACGCACAGCTCGCACTCACTGCTCGCAGCGAGCAGGAGGTGCTCGGCGTCATGATGCGCGGACACGACTCCATGATGGCCGTGCTCACCGCACGACAGCGCGCACTGCAGGTACGCACAGCTCGCACTCACTGCTCGCAGCGAGCAGGAGGTGCTCGGCGTCATGATGCGTGGACACGACTCCATGATGGCCGTGCTCACCGCACGACAGCGCGCACTGCAGGTACGCACAGCTCGCACTCACTGCTCGCAGCGAGCAGGAGGTGCTCGGCGTCATGATGCGTGGACACGACTCCATGATGGCCGTGCTCACCGCACGACAGCGCGCACTGCAGGTACGCACAGCTCGCACTCACTGCTCGCAGCGAGCAGGAGGTGCTCGGCGTCATGATGCGTGGACACGACTCCATGATGGCCGTGCTCACCGCACGACAGCGCGCACTGCAGGTACGCACAGCTCGCACTCACTGCTCGCAGCGAGCAGGAGGTGCTCGGCGTCATGATGCGTGGACACGACTCCATGATGGCCGTGCTCACCGCACGACAGCGCGCACTGCAGGTACGCACAGCTCGCACTCACTGCTCGCAGCGAGCAGGAGGTGCTCGGCGTCATGATGCGCGGACACGACTCCATGATGGCCGTGCTCACCGCACGACAGCGCGCACTGCAGGTACGCACAGCTCGCACTCACTGCTCGCAGCGAGCAGGAGGTGCTCGGCGTCATGATGCGTGGACACGACTCCATGATGGCCGTGCTCACCGCACGACAGCGCGCACTGCAGGTACGCACAGCTCGCACTCACTGCTCGCAGCGAGCAGGAGGTGCTCGGCGTCATGATGCGTGGACACGACTCCATGATGGCCGTGCTCACCGCACGACAGCGCGCACTGCAGGTACGCACAGCTCGCACTCACTGCTCGCAGCGAGCAGGAGGTGCTCGGCGTCATGATGCGTGGACACGACTCCATGATGGCCGTGCTCACCGCACGACAGCGCGCACTGCAGGTACGCACAGCTCGCACTCACTACTCGCAGCGAGCAGGAGGTGCTCGGCGTCATGATGCGTGGACACGACTCCATGATGGCCGTGCTCACCGCACGACAGCGCGCACTGCAGGTACGCACAGCTCGCACTCACTGCTCGCAGCGAGCAGGAGGTGCTCGGCGTCATGATGCGTGGACACGACTCCATGATGGCCGTGCTCACCGCACGACAGCGCGCACTGCAGGTACGCACAGCTCGCACTAACTGCTCGCAGCGAGCAGGAGGTGCTCGGCGTCATGATGCGTGGACACGACTCCATGATGGCCGTGCTCACCGCACGACAGCGCGCACTGCAGGTACGCACAGCTCGCACTCACTGCTCGCAGCGAGCAGGAGGTGCTCGGCGTCATGATGCGTGGACACGACTCCATGATGGCCGTGCTCACCGCACGACAGCGCGCACTGCAGGTACGCACAGCTCGCACTCACTGCTCGCAGCGAGCAGGAGGTGCTCGGCGTCATGATGCGCGGACACGACTCCATGATGGCCGTGCTCACCGCACGACAGCGCGCACTGCAGGTACGCACAGCTCGCACTCACTGCTCGCAGCGAGCAGGAGGTGCTCGGCGTCATGATGCGTGGACACGACTCCATGATGGCCGTGCTCACCGCACGACAGCGCGCACTGCAGGTACGCACAGCTCGCACTCACTGCTCGCAGCGAGCAGGAGGTGCTCGGCGTCATGATGCGTGGACACGACTCCATGATGGCCGTGCTCACCGCACGACTGCGCGCACTGCAGGTACGCACAGCTCGCACTCACTGCTCGCAGCGAGCAGGAGGTGCTCGGCGTCATGATACGTGGACACGACTCCATGATGGCCGTGCTCACCGCACGACAGCGCGCACTGCAGGTACGCACAGCTCGCACTCACTGCTCGCAGCGAGCAGGAGGTGCTCGGCGTCATGATGCGTGGACACGACTCCATGATGGCCGTGCTCACCGCACGACAGCGCGCACTGCAGGTACGCACAGCTCGCACTCACTGCTCGCAGCGAGCAGGAGGTGCTCGGCGTCATGATGCGTGGACACGACTCCATGATGGCCGTGCTCACCGCACGACTGCGCGCACTGCAGGTACGCACAGCTCGCACTCACTGCTCGCAGCGAGCAGGAGGTGCTCGGCGTCATGATACGTGGACACGACTCCATGATGGCCGTGCTCACCGCACGACAGCGCGCACTGCAGGTACGCACAGCTCGCACTCACTGCTCGCAGCGAGCAGGAGGTGCTCGGCGTCATGATGCGTGGACACGACTCCATGATGGCCGTGCTCACCGCACGACAGCGCGCACTGCAGGTACGCACAGCTCGCACTCACTGCTCGCAGCGAGCAGGAGGTGCTCGGCGTCATGATGCGTGGACACGACTCCATGATGGCCGTGCTCACCGCACGACAGCGCGCACTGCAGGTACGCACAGCTCGCACTCACTGCTCGCGGCGAGCAGGAGGTGCTCGGCGTCATGATGCGTGGACACGACTCCATGATGGCCGTGCTCACCGCACGACAGCGCGCACTGCAGGTACGCACAGCTCGCACTCACTGCTCGCAGCGAGCAGGAGGTGCTCGGCGTCATGATGCGTGGACACGACTCCATGATGGCCGTGCTCACCGCACGACAGCGCGCACTGCAGGTACGCACAGCTCGCACTCACTGCTCGCAGCGAGCAGGAGGTGCTCGGCGTCATGATGCGCGGACACGACTCCATGATGGCCGTGCTCACCGCACGACAGCGCGCACTGCAGGTACGCACAGCTCGCACTCACTGCTCGCAGCGAGCAGGAGGTGCTCGGCGTCATGATGCGTGGACACGACTCCATGATGGCCGTGCTCACCGCACGACAGCGCGCACTGCAGGTACGCACAGCTCGCACTCACTGCTCGCAGCGAGCAGGAGGTGCTCGGCGTCATGATGCGTGGACACGACTCCATGATGGCCGTGCTCACCGCACGACAGCGCGCACTGCAGGTACGCACAGCTCGCACTCACTGCTCGCGGACACTTAACGGTTAGCCACCGTAGAGTCTACATCACCTGAATATGCCTCGTGTAGAGGCGAAACACGTGTCGTATTGTTGTCATTGGTGTGTCTTGCTTAGTGTAGTGGTGTTGGGAATAGTGGTGCTGGGATTAGTGGTGACGGTGATAGTGCAAGCAATTGAGGGAGGGCGGAAGGTGCTATTCATACTAGGTAAGACACATCATATTATTTTATAGCGCGGATGTTTGCGAAGTAAATTTTTTAAAAGCTTTTATATAATGGATTTCCGCAAAGTAACGCCTGATTCTATTAATCATATTAAGTACAGTTGTTGAAGTTACACATAAGCAGTAACACATAACCATTCGTCAAAATGACGAGTATGCAGTAGGTATCTCCAAAACAAAATTACTTACCGGCTAAAAGCAACTACCACGCGACGCTTGCTAAAGTCCAGTCGCGGAGCCAATAATGTAAGTATTAATAAAGATTTCTTATGTTTACGCGAATGCTACTCATCAAATGGAACTAATTTTTACGGATTGTGACGCGTTTTACTTAGTACCTGGTCGCCCGAGCTTTACTTGGCGTAAAAAATATTTATAATATATAATTTGCTCATGGCTTACATCTATCAAGAAAAACTTTATTCAAATGTGTATACCTACCTAAGGGTTGAAAGCAGCTAACGTAAATTTTTTCAACGATCTATTCTGTCTATACCGAATGTCCAGTCGCGGAGCAAGAAGAATTTCGTACAATGACCTATGCCTACTGACAGTGGTCACAAACATTTTCGTATTAAGTGCGGTTTATATGAAATATTTGAAGGAGAAAAAAAAATATTAATTTATTAAATAAATTATTGTTATTATATAAATTATTTATTTTGATTTTAGTATAAAAACAGTTCTAAAAATCGAGTTACAATTACTAATTTAGCAGAAATAAAAAAAATTTAAATTCAGAATCCGATTTCTCTATATCGGAGTTACTGCTTTCCGACGACGTCTCGCCTGTCACATGTATTTTAAAAGAATCAACAGTTTTGTCTACATTATCATCCAGTCTATCTAATTTCGATTCCTCTTTTTTACGTGTCTGGTGCAATTTTGCCATTTTTCTGCTGAAATGTTGCTTAAAGCCTTCTGGTGCAGCTTTTTAACATCTGCCATCTTAAATGTTGTGTTTTTCCGGGCAACATGCCCTTTGACGTCTACCCACACAAGTTCTATGGGATCCAATTCGCAATGGTATGGAGGTAATCTCAGTACCTCCACACCAACTGTTTTTCCCTCCATCTGCTATCTCATGGACCACGTATGATTGGTACTGCGTTTTGACATTTTCTACCTTTTCCAAGAGCTGGACTTTTGTTTCCTTTGCCTCAAAAGAAATTTGCTTTGATGAAAGCCATTCTTGGATGTCTGGTTTTTTCCAACTAGTAACTGGGATTTTCTCCTGGCGTCTTGAGTGGTAGCTGGCATTATTCATGACAACCACTGCGTTTGGCTCAAGTCTTGGCTGACTTGACTGTATTCATTGATTCGTGATAATCGCCTGTAACTTTGCATTCAAATACCAATTCTGATTCTGGCACGATTCCTTTTTCACCACCTCCTATATGTAATATAATTAGCCGGTTGTCTTTGGAAGTAGGATTCTTGGCAACCGTAGTGTCTACCCACAATTTGCCAGTGTGCCCTGAAAAGTAAATGAATAAATTTATCATAAGTTTAAACATTTAACCACTTCATATTACGAAAATTTATGTTGCAGAATTGAAAGGCAGTCGGGATGCACTAGAGGAAGGCTTATCTACCAAATCGGCGATACATTGAAAATGGGCCAGATTAGGAGTACCCTTAACCGACGAGCGTGTATGCGTAGATATATTAGTGTAAAGGAGGCGAGAGAGGTGTGTTAGGATCGCGCCAAATGGAAGTCCGTAGTCTCTGCCTACTCCTCTGGGTGACAGGCGTGAGTGTGTGTGTGTGTGTGTGTGTGTGTGTGTGTGTGTGTGTGTGTGTGTGTGTGTGTGCGCGTGTGTGCGTGCGTGCGTGCGTGCGTGCGTGCGTGTGTGTGTGTGTGTGTGTGTGCAGAGACAGACAGATAGAGTTACTTTCACATTTACAATATTAGTATGGATTTAAGACCGTCAGTAAATAATAAAAATAAGTGTTACCCGCATTCTATTACCAATATTCAGTAATATATTGGTCTTTCTTGCTTTCGGTATATTTTAATATTTGATATGACACAATGTTACGTCATCTGTGTCAATTAACCCATTATTTCTCCTTAGTTTGACATACTTAAACTTCAAATGTTTCAGTATTTTTTTCAACGATGTCAAGCCCATGTTTGGTAAGGATTTGTCTGCATTTATGATACGTAACATCTTTTTTGCTGTAGGCAACTCTCCTTTTAAATAAAAGCTGTGCACTTTTCGTTTAATGTACGATTTATCGAACCCATCAATCGTTTTTTATTAACGAGAGTCGTTTTTTCTACTTGACGGTGTCTCTTTCGGTATATTCTTTTAAATGGCGATATATGGCCGATTTCGAAATACCCAAGATATCGACTGTTTTGTCCTTCATTTCTTTTTTTGAAAGATATTTATCAGCAAGCCAGGATTCTTTAACGTATTTAAAGACGTTAATAATCATTACCTTCTCAGATACACTAAAGTGTGACATTTTTCTTTTCTTCCGCGGAGAAACAAGCTCCTTGAATGGACGCGAGGTAGACGGCGCTGGTTCCATTTTAAAACAGTGAAGAAAACTTAACAAATTAACAAAACCACTTAACAATTAAAACAAAATAGCAAAAACTAACAAACAGCAACAAACTAAAAATAGATAACTGAGATAACTGTGTCCGAAAACTGAGCGATCACTAACGCATTCCAAGTTGAAATGTCGTTCGTTCATTATTTAAAAATTATTAATTATGTCAACCAAGCCAAGAATTTTTGGTCGTGACTCAAGGCCAACCAAAAACCACATGCAAACAAGAACAAACCTTACAGTCTCAGATAAAAGGTTTACAATCCCTGAGGTCGGCGGCCATTGCATTTGTGCGAGCGAGACGCATTATATTTACGCCGGAGTGACAGAGACAAGTATATCGGGTTAAAGTACGAAATTCTTCCTGCTTCGCGTCCGGACTTTAGCGGTCATTAAGCTGGTGTGATACCGCGAGTGTGTAAGTAAAACCATGAGAAAGGGAAAAGGAGATAAAGTGTACAAGCATAAAGTCTTTTCTCTTTTTTACTTATATTTATTCTCCATTGTTATTTAATCTTCGCTTTGAGTAATTTTCCAACGAACATGATGGACCTAATTTGTTGTCCTCTCAAAAAAAATTGGTTATTTCGGGGGCTCCATTGTGAACGTAGAATGCTGGAATGCGACTAATGACCTCTACGAAGAAACTTGGTTATTTTGGAGGATGTGATTCTTCACTTGGTGTACTCCTATGTTTGGAAAATATAGCAGTTTCTCATTCTAATGGATATTTTTTCGTACATTATCTTCTTCTATAGTATATGATACCATAGTTGTTTACTAGTTTAAACCATTTTTCTTTTACAGATATTTCATTCAGTAAGGGTTAATAAAAGCCTAAAATCTGCATTAGAATCTGTCATAGCACTTGAAGACACGTCCGTTATACTAGACATTCTCAATGTTATGGCACATAAACCGTAAGCATCCAACGTTGTTTATGTTTAATGTGACTTGTTATTATATTTGTATATATTTAAGTTTATGTTTACAAGCTGTCTATTTACAGGTCCTTGTGGAATCTAGACATTTGTCTATTGATGCTGCCTAAAATATATGACTTATTACAAAGCAAATATGAATCGTAAGTACGATGTACAATAAGAATAATAAAACTTGATCAAAATAATTAGCATTTTTGCTCTTAAGTTATTTTCTCATTAAATTAAGCACTACTTCCTATACATATATAGGTCATAGATAAGTATTGCAATACAGCTTCTATTTTCATAATTTTCGTCATAGTTTATTATTCACTTAAAGATACGTACAAATTAATCATCATAAATGTCCTTCCATTTTCCATCTAAGAGTTCTGAATATCCGTCTTTTGCAACCAAAAGCTCAGTGTATACTGTTCACTGTGCAACTCTTTTCCATTAAAAAAAAACCTTAATAATTAGATGAGTAGAGTCGCTGAGCGCTACATTACAAAAGCTAGAGCACGAGATCATTCAGGTCTTAAAATATCACGTGCTCAATATGGGGACGCGTTATCTATTTTTAAGTTTAGATGAATTTCATCACCATTATCATTACAGCCCTTCACAGGATCACTGCTGAACACGAACCTCCTCCAAGGAGTGCGACAAAGCATAGCCTATCGACTCACTGCATATCTTACCAGGTCGTCACTGCATCTAGGGACATTTAACTTCTCCAGGCTTGTGGTAGCCTAGAACAGGTTACTTAACCGCCGCCTGTGCCTCGGCTTTGTTGTACGTTTTGCGCCACCCGGGGGGCACGTGTAGGATGGGCCTAAGAGAGGTGGTAAATCCTACGGACACGAACAACATCACCTCCCTAGCTAAAATTTAGAAATTATTTTTCTGAAGTAAATTTCTCGCCAGCTAAACGGTAGTCCCCAAATGTGACCACCTGACGTAATTTATGGATGGCCCCTTAGAGACGACTAAGGAAACTAGTTAGGTGAAATAACCGTCAGACTGAAATTATTATCATTTTTTATAAAAATATAATTATACATTTTTAATATTCTTGCAGGTATATGCAATGCGGTTGTAACGCTTTGAGATTAATAGTACGTAATTTCTCTTCGGTGGTTCGAGCCAATGTCAGTGCTCCAGTTCGCACTCTAGGGGTTGATATTCCGAGAGAGGAACGATACACAAAGTGTGTGCAAATCCATAGATTACTGTTAGAAGTACGCGCTTTTCTACTCAAAAGACAAACGCTTCAAGGACGCCTTGGGGCTGCGTTCCGTGATCTCCACACATTGATGCAACAAGGACTTGACTGAAAATCTCTTTTATTATTAATTGTTTAGGTATGGTTTTGTTTGAAGCTACATCTATAATTTATGGCAGTTTCTAAAACGTAATTGTACTTCATATTACACTTTACAAAATGAAAAATTTAATAATTTATATATTATTATAATATGATGTGCATTTTAATAATGAAATTATTTTTAATATGCCTATATTATATTTGCAGTGTAAACAAAAAAATTTTGAATTTCGTCATTATTCATTAAACATGCCATAGTTCAACAGCAACTTTATAATAAACAAGAATTGTATGAATTAATTAATTAAATAATTGAAACACATAATAATACAATAACAAATAAATTCACTAAGATTATAGAGAAAGTTTTAGATAAATTATTAGCCTTATCCATAATATATTATATTATGTTAATATTCATTGTTGGATATAATTATCGTTTACCAATTAATTTGTATATATCACACCGGTTTTGAGGACTATGTTCGGACCTCTTTATTGTTATGTATTTAGGTCATATCATTTAGTCAGACATTTAATGTAATTGTAAACAAGTTCCCATAACTATAAAAAATCACAATAGAGAAGTTGAACTTTTTGCCACAATTTTATACATAAATGAAAGAGTAATTCGTTTAAAATATATTTAAATAATTGAGTGCTTTATCATCACTATGTGGTGACGTTACTAAAGCGATATAATGCCGTCAGTGGCGTTTTGAGTTTACATTTTAGAAAAACCATTTTAGTGGTAAAATTACATGAAAAACCAATTGTTAAAAATTTTTATTTAATTTTTATTAATAATTATTAGTAAACTTTCAAAAAAATTATAAAACATGCAACTTCTCTATTCAAACTCTGTTTAATACAAGTGATAAAATTAAAAAAAAATGTACAACCGACTTCAATATAAATTATTAAGGATAACTTAAAAACTACTGGTCAGACCTTGATCAAACTTATACGGGACCACATGAAAAGCACAAACACTTTTAAATTAAAAAAAAAATCATCAAAATCGGTTCGCCTAAAAAAGTTATGAGGTATCACACATTACAAGAATATTTAAAAAATACAGTCGAGTTGAGTACCTCCTCCTTTTTGAAGTTGGTTAACATAACATAACATAAAAATACAGCTTATGTAACGTTTAGATACTCGCCGAGCACAGACGAAAAGGCACGAGTATGACAACATGTAAACGACTTGTTCGTTTGTGCTCGCTACTCGGCCCGAGTTTTCTTCTCGATTTCGGTTTTTAGCACGATTCAAAGGTACGTTCGTGTGTATTGGTTTCGGTGTTTACATACTCGCCATTATTCAGTTGACCCGTAAATTATCATTATAATTTACTCGGCCAATCTACTGTTATAATTTTCTCTAATACCTTTCTTTGACAAAATATATAAAAAAATATAAGTATGTGCTCGGTTCAGCTGAATTTAAAAATTGTACAAGAGAGAAACTACTTTTATACATCCTAACTTAATACTATGTATTTCTACTACTGCCGTCTTTTCTTTTTTCGTTTTAAAATATTTGTGAGTATAAAATTAAGTAGTCATAAAGCCGTAGCAACGAGACGCACGTCATCCATGTTTAAAAGATCTACGTTGAATGAACAACGCATCGTACTCGTCCATGAATAACTCGGCGAGTTGCTCGTCCGATGATCTAAACGTGCCATTATGAAAATAACATAAATCGATACTTATAGAACTCGCCCAAATCTTTAAGGCTCCAGTACACGTTGGTCGATCGCGCTTGGCGGGCCCGCTCGGCAGATTTTTGTGGTGCCGTTCACACGTTGGCGTACTTCATTCTGCGTTGGTAGCTAGATGATGATGGACGTTAGTGATCTCAAAACCGACACTATACGGCTTGTCGGCGAGTGTTGGCCGCAAACGCCAAATACACACAAAACGGCCTAGTACATGTTGGCCGAACGCGCTCGCAGAGTACTGCTACCTTAACATACGGGTAAATCGCTACAAAATTTTTTGCTGACCTTTTTTGGTATGTCAATGGCGGATCTTTTTTTAAAGTTAAATTTTGTTCAGCAGCATAGTATACATATCAACATTTCTTACTTAAAAGCAAAAATATGTAGGTACTTACGTAATTATATTTCTTTAAAAATATCTATGCATCCATCAATATACAAATAATATATCTGTTGGTATTTTAGTTCTATGTTCTGTTGGTTTGTGTTGTGTGTCTATATAAAACACCTTTATAGTATGAAGCAGAACATTCAACTGTAAAAGATGGAAAAAGAATTTTGCTGTTGGTATATTACAGATATGTACTTGATTTGATTTTAGTTTATAAGACTACATGTTATTTATTAATTTACATATAACGAATTAACAATATTAAGAGAAATAAAAAATAAATTAAAAACTTAAATTATGATCTAGCCGTACTCCTCGTGGTATAACGCCAAGAACGCAGCATGCTCGCCTTTGGGCGAGAAAAAGGACCAGTCTCAATGTATTTCATTATTTTTTCACTACATACTTTTTCTGAATTTGACTGTCAACACATAGACACCACATCAATTAGTCTATCTGAAATCTGTAATTAATATAATAGCTAGAATAATAACTGTTCGTATATAAAATATTTATTAACATAATATAAATACTTTACAATAATCATCTATTTATAATTAAATTCTTAACAAATTTTATATTTTTTTTCCACAGTCATACTCTCATCACATTTTCATACATTTTTAAATACTATTGTACAAAAACCCACCAGCATCCATTCCTTCTTAATTAAATAGTATTAAAATGTACTTAATTAATAACTGAAAATAAACAATTACTCTGATGCATTTAGTTTCTATTTAACATCTACCAAATTTTACTACAGCTGTTATTTGTGAGATACTGAAAAAAATCATAAAATAGAAATTTTCAATTCATTGGTATACTTCATGGCTGGTTATGTGCCTCTACCAATAGCTAGGTGGAAATTTAGACATAGGAAATACATATCTATATTTTTTTACTAAGAATTTATAATATTTAAGTACAGCATTTTAACACGCATCATGCATGTTCTCCATTTATAATATCTGAATGACTTAAAAGTGAGTCACATCCAAACTAATTTTCATATTTATAATATTAATACGCCCCACACTATGTTTGCCTAAACGCGGTATCCACTCTATGACACGCCTACTCCAATGGTTATCACTTCTGCGACAAATGTGACCAGCCCATTGCCACTTCAGCCTGCAAATATTCAAGGCCTTTAGTGACCTTGGTTCTCCGGCGGATTTCTTCGTTACGAATCTTATCCACCAGAGCCAAACTCCGAGTATAGCTCTTTCCATCGCCCGCTGGGTGATTTTGAGTTTGTGGAATAGTCGTACCGTTAGTCCACGTTTCGGCACCATATGTGAGTACTGGCACTGAGCACTGGTCAAACTTTCTTCTTCAAGCTTTGCGGTTTGGGCGACGAGAAAATCTGAAGAGGCTACCCAAATGCTGCACAGCCCAACTGAATCCGCCTGTCGGCTTTCTCGAAGTTGTTTCTATCTGACTGCACTATCTGGTTGAGGTAAATATACTCTTCACCAACTTCAAGCATCTCACCATCAACGATAATAGAATCTGCACCGATTCGTTGCAGCACTGATTTTTGACAACTTTAACTGTGGCGGCGAACAAATATTTCATGCTACAGAAGTTGATGACAAGCCTATTGTGCCATCAGCCATGTGTAAAAGTAATTTTCTTTTTTAAGTTTTTTTCACTTGTTTACACCTAAAAGTTTAGTTGACATCAAACATCAGTTACAAATGGAAGGATACTTGTTTTTAGTCGGTAACTACGTGTTTTCTTTGAAATTGAGAGTGACTTTTTTATGCAGAGATTACGAACCTTTTGTACTATTTTTTGTTTTATAAAAAAAAATCATTTATATAAGTAGGTACAGCTAAATCACCCTGGAAAACCTTGGTTTTTATTAAATTAAATGTTCACCTAATAATAATATTTGTAACTATCAAACAATCAAGAACCTTAATTTGGAAACAAATAAGGTTTATGATTAATTAATATTTACAAATGTTAAATATTATTTAATGTTATACAAATGTAAAAGTAAATTCGATCTGAAAACGTCTAGTTAGTAAGAATAGCAAAACAAGTGTTTTCAAAAGGAAAAAAAACACCGGCACTATACGGCGGCGGATTGACAAAAGACTATTTATTAGCGAACTTTTATGTATAAACGGTTTCGAACAGTTCAAACAAAAATAAACCTTATACCATATCACAAAAGCACATGGTACTTCGTAGGTCTATTCAGGATACGACTTTCCATTGACGTCCGTTGAGTTAGGTGTTGATACGTATTTTTACAGAAAGATTACATTTTTATAAGCACACACACAAAGTTTCAATATGCGGAAAATCGTACTTTTTGAGAAAAACATATTGAAAATCAAATATTTTTGCAATATGTCAATTCCTATCGTGAAACTGACGCCATTTTTTGTTGTTATTGTCAGTAGGGATGTCGATTCTTTCCGAAAACGATCGGTTTTTTAAATAAATTGGAATTGTTAGCTGATGTATCGATTCCCAAAAAATCGATTTCTAAAATATCTATATTTTTTCATGTTTGCATTTATAATATAAATATAAATCCATTTTATGAGAAAAAAATTCCCTTCATCATAAAAAAATAAGGGGACTAATTCAGAAGGATTTCTGTATCTATTTTGAGGCTGCTACGTCTCCGGCGATGCGGGAAGAGCAGCCTCTACGCCTTAGCGTAACAAATCGTAGGCATCGGACGAGCCGGAGCGGCTGCTCCCCCTACGCGCCTACGGCTCTATAAAACCACTCTAGGGGTAGGACAGACTCGTGGAGTCGGGGTCAATCAATTCGGTTCTTTGACATAAGTTGAACCTAATCTATTTTATTTGTTATCTGCCCTAATAGGTACTGTTAAAATAAAACAAATTTCAATAAGAGATCATTT